TAACTGTTGACGAAACCAATAAAACCACGTCCGAATGACCCCAAATTTTGTAAAAAAGTCACATTCAAACTTACGGACCTACTCTAACTTCCGGAATCGTATTTCGACCCCGATATCAAAATGTCCACTACCGGTCAAAATCTCCAAATATTCGACTTTCGCCATTTCAAGCCTAAATCAACAATAGACCTCCAAAACACAATTCGGACACGCCCCTAAGTTCAAAATCACCCAACAAAGCTAACAGAATCGACAAAACTCCATTCTGGAGTCGTCTTTACACAGTTCTGACTTCGGTCCAGATCCTAATACTTAAGCCTCTGTTTAGGGATTAAGTGTCCCAAAACACTCCAAAAACCAAGATGAAACCTTCCGACAAGTCACATAAGCAGAAAAAGATACGGGAGAAGCATTTAATAGGGGATCGGGGCCGTAACTCTCAAAACAACCGGCCGGGTCGTTACAGTAGCATAGTTTACATTTAGCTCTTTTATCCCTGCTAGGGTACCATTTGCATATAAAATACTAATTACTATCTAATCCTTTATTCCTTTCAACTTCATGATTACATTCTTCAGATATGTTTACTAATGTATTTGCTTGTATTTTCTCTAAGTCTAATTTTTCTAATCCTACCTCATTTATTAGTTCTTATTCTTCTTCTTCTTCTGATTCTGATGAGTCTATTTAAGTTTTTTCCTTTATATATACACTTACTATAGAGTATATGCTTTCATTATCTGACATATATTCGTCTACGTTTATTAGAGTTTCCTGAAAATCTTCTATTGACCGTGAATTTCTTGTTTTATTATTAATATTTTTTGGGCATGTATTTGCTAAGTGTTCTACACTTCCACAAGTGAAACATTCTAGTTTATTTTTATAATTTATTTCTGTTCTATATTTCCTAACATGTCTATTTCTATCTAGATAAGGTTTTTTAGCTGATGATTTTCTAAGATAATAATTTTTCTACTATGTCCCCTATTATACTGAGGCTTATATTTCCTATATTTTTTTCTTTTTATAATCATTCTTGTCATAACTTTGGGTTGTAAACATAGTTGATTTACCAAAACTCATATTGTTCTGTTTTAGTTGTTTTTGTATTTGTATATGAATACACTTTTCTTGTAGTATTTCCATTATATGCTGTATTTTGTGTCCTATAGACCACGTTGCATTTGGATTTTGTATTACTCCGTCTCTTTTGTACTATCGTTCTTCTATTTCTCTTCCTAGAACTCCTGGTAGTTTATTATTATTATTATTATTATTATTATTATTATTATTATTATTATTATTATTATATATATATATCATTTCCATAAGAAATCTTTTCTAGAAAGGTATCTATATATACCTTGTATTATAATGCAAGTATGTTTTGCAAATTAGGTGTTAAGTAAATCAAGTGAACGTGCATAATATCAATATGCTTAATGATCATATACATGTGATAGAAGGCGAAGCTCGAAATTTTATAAAGGGTGTTCAAAATTTAATATATATCTATAACAAAGTAATTTTTGATTTGTATACATAGTATAATTTTTTATATAATCAGTGCAATTTCCCGATGACACCCTTTATTCTATGTGGCTATGTTAGTGGATAGAATTATATATACAGTTCAACTATATGTACCAATATTTTATACTCCTTATGTTCCAATTTATGTGGCGGTGTTTGATTAAGACTTTTGAAGCTTGTGGTCTAACGTATGTTTAAGTATGGGAGGATGTAACGACCCGACTGGTCGTTTTGAGCATTTGCACTTCGCTCAATTGTTTGAGGGCATGAGTAGCTCCGTATGATGTATTATAACTTATGTGAATCGTCGGTTTTGGTTTACAGGTTATTCAGAATTGATTTGGAAGAATGATTATCAGCTAGAAGCTTTAATTTTGAAAGGTTTGACAAAGTTTGAATTTTTAGTATTTGACCCCGGATTGGATTTTTGATGGTTCTGTTAGCTCCTTTAGGTAATTTTTTACTTAGGAGCGTGTCCGGATTGTGATTTAGAGGTCCTTAGTAGAATTTGGCTTGAAATGGCGAAAGTTGGAATTTTGGAAAACTTTGACTGTGAGTGAATTTTTTGATATTGGGGTCGGATTTCGATTACAAAAGTTGGAGCAGGTCCGTAATGTCAAATGTCACTTGTGTGAAAAATTTGAGGTCAATCGGATGTGATTTGATAGGTTTCGGCATCGGTTGTGAAAGTTTGAAATTTCCAAGTTCATTGATTTTGAATTGAGGTGTGATTCGTCTTTTCGATATTGTTATGTGTGTTTCGAGTCCTTGAGTAGGTCCGTGTTATGTTATGGGACTTTTTGGTATACTTAGACGGGGTCCCGAAGGACTCGGGCGTGTTTTGGATTGATTTCAGATCATTTTCCTTCATGTTGCTAGTTGGTTGCTGCTGGTTCTGGTAGGACCGCACCTGCGGCTGGTTTGCGCAGGTACGATGGTCGCAGAAGAGTTAGTGGAGTTGCAGAAGCGAGAAGAGGCTGGGTGAGGAAGACCGCAGAAGCGGATTTTTGTAGCGCACCTGCGTGCGCGCATATGTGAGATTGGAAGCGCAGGCGCGAAAATCTTCGCAGAAGCAGAATTTGATATCCGTATGTGCAGGGGTTGTTGCGCAAGGCTATTTTTGTAGAATCGAAGTTTTTATCTCATAAGCGGTGGTCGCAGATGCGATGATCTATCCGCAAATGCGGAATTGCTGGGCAGAATGTTATAAGTTTGAGGGTTGGTCTTTTTTATCACATATTGAGCTATGGACTTCGGAATGGAGCGATTTTTGGAGCAAATTTCATCACAAGGATTGGGGTAAGTTTTCTCTACTCAGTTTTGAATACATTTCATGAATCCATCTTCATTTTTAGCAATTGGTTGATGAATTCAAAAAGAAAAATTGGGGGTTTTGACCTAAAGTTTCATAATGGAATTTTTGAGTTTTGAACATCTATTCGGAATTGGATTTGAGTGAAACTAGTATGGTTGGACACATAATTGAGTGGGTTATCGGGTTCCGAGGCGCGGGCACGGGTATAATTTTTGGGTGGTTTTGGGTTTTGATTAAGGATTCGATCTTTATCATTTGAAATTGTTTCCTTGGGCTTTATTTGATGTATTTGAGTTACTTTTGGCTAGTTTTGAGCCGTTCGGAGGTCGCTACGTGCGTGATGGCATTTTTGAGCATTGCTTGTCTTGCTCGGTATTGGAATTGACTTATTCAAGATAAGTAACTCTTCTAAACTTAGTGCTGAGGGTATGAAACACCGAATTACGTGTTATGTGATTGGTGTTGATGTGACGCACATGCTAGGTGACGGGTGTGTGGGCGTACACCGTGTAAGCTGTGACTCTGTTATTTCTGTGGTATTGTGTAGTTACCTGATCTTACTTGTAGCCATGATATTTCTACCTGATCAAATCTACTTCTGCACATTGCGTGCTGACGTTGGCTGCTGTGTTCGATGGGAGCTGTAGTTGAAGATGTACCCGCGTCCCTATTGTAGCTGCCTCTTGTTCATGGTAGCCTTAGATTATAAAACTATGTTTATGTACTTTTCATACAGAAGATGTATTTACTTCATATCAGCTTTGTAAGTTCTATTCTTAGAAGCTCATGATTTGTACCACCAGTCCTTTGGAAATATATAAGATTCAGATAACTTATTTTATTTAATTGCCTTATTAACATTATTGAAAGTGAATAGTTATTAGTCGGCTTACCTAGCGGGTTGGGGTTAGGTATCATCACGACTAGTAGATTTTGAGTCGTGACACTTGTGGTCTAAAATAAGTCATAGAAAGTGTGGCTATAGATCATCTCATAGTAAGGACAAAATGAGAAAGTTGAAGTTATATGATTTTTTCTAATTACAGCAATCATGTGACAAAAGGAGTATATAATAAGAAATTGGATATTGATAAGATAATAGTAGTGTTGTCATAAACAAACTCAAATAAAACCGGTGGACCCAGGATTTTGTGCAAGCGAGTTAAATTGGAGAAGTCCATAACTAACATAAGCGGTATAAGGCACGAGAGGCAAGTTTTTTTGTCTACTCACAATGTGATCTCATAATAAAATCCTCTTAAAGTCTGTGCTCTATATTTTAAACAAAATTTTGCTTATGCAAATTTATAAATCTAATTTTAGCTAATTATTAAACTTTAACAAAAATAATTTTTGACCAATTTTAGAATTTATTAACTCTGAAAAATTTGATCGATTATAAAATCTTTTTAGCATTTATAAGTAACAGGTTATTATTTGCAAAAGAAGACAATAAGAAAAGAGTTACAAACTAAACTAAATTAACACCAATAATCAAAGAAAGAGAGTTTATATACTAAAAAAATTAAATATAAAATAATAAAAAGAATTCCACCATAAACTAAATTAAATTAAACTAACAAATGACAAATAATTTCAACAAATATATTTGCAAGTCCTAGCAAATTTTATGAAAGGGAGAAGTAAAATTACCTTCTGAGGTAAAATAAACTTCAATATAATTTCTATTGAATTTATGTAAAGAAAATAAACTATAAAATAAAATAAAGAAAACGGCAAAAAATATATTACAAGGAAAATAATTTGATTTGATTGCAAAGACAGTTATATTAGACGATGCTTCTATCTTTATGGGTTTGTTTCCTTTTCTAATTCTTATTGCAATTTATATAAAATAAAAAAAATAAAAAAAAAAAAAGGCACAAATCATGAAAGGGATTTGAAAACACGACCTCAACGATACTTTGAACCAGCTTGAACACGTTTGCAAGAGCAAAACTTCTTTTAAGTGAGTTCAAAAATAATATCTATACAAAATTTACTTTGTTTTAGCCATAATTTAAACATATACACAATATTATTTTTGATAAAGCGGGTTCAGTTGAACCCACTTCTCACTACGTGGGTCCGCCCCTGGCTGTGCGTCTTGATGCAACATGTAATAATTATAAATACATAGGGTTGTTTGGCTTCCCTTCTCAACCTTCAATCTTAATACTCTCTTCTAACCCCTTGTCCCAACATGGCAGTTTCCAAACTTTTTCTTGCACTGTTTCTTGTTTTCATGGTACTAAACCTAGAAAAAGCAAATGGTGAAGCAACTGGAAAGACCAAAAAACTGATTGATATGGCTAATAGAAAAGGACCTTACTTGGGATTAGTCATTCCTAACCTGTTTGAGATGAATCCTCTTCTTCAACACCCTAGTTACAAACCTACTAACCTTACCATTGACTATGCAGGTAACATAATATAAAACCTTATATAAGTAATGCTTAAAAATATATATGTTTCTTTTATTCACTTGCTTATTGATTTTGTTGCTTTAAATATGGAAGGGAGGAGATTTCGGTTTGGATATATTGATAACCAGCCTGTTATTCTGGTTATGACTGGACTTGCCATGGTGTGTATTTTCTCTTTCCTTTTTATGTGATAGTATTAATTACTACTAGTATATATGGACTTGAAGTTGTACGATGTAGGCACGTTCTAATTTTGAGCTTTTAAATTTTCTTTTTGCATTCAGCTAAATGCAGGCATAACAACACAACTGTTGCTATCATTGTTCAAGATTAAAGGTGTGGTGCACTATGGAATTGCAGGAAATGCAAATCCATCTCTCCATATTGGAGATGTTGCTATTCCTCAGTATTGGGCACATACTGCTCTTTGGAATTGGCAGGTTTTTAGCTAATTTTCCATACATTTTAATGGACTTATTGTCACAATACACACACACACACACAAAACGTCTATTTCCAAAATAGAAAAAAATAATCTTTTGTTCTTAATTCCATTTTATTACTGCTGAATTTGACAAACGACAAACGTATATAAAAAAACTGCAGAGATATGGAGATGGCCCTCAGAATGAACTACCCCTTGAAGTAAATGGAGACTACACGAGAGATATTGGATACTTGAAAATTTCCAAATACTCTGTGAATGTGACAAATTGCAACTCACATAACAATCTTCTTAACAACGTTTGGTACCAACCTGAAGAAGTATTCCCTGTATTTGGCACTCCTGAGGAAAGACAACATATCTTTTGGGTTCCTGTTGACCCTCATTACTTTGCAATCGCCAAAAAACTCGAGGTAAATTATACTCCCTGACCAATTACTATTTGGAGAGTCAAATAATTTATTTATTTTTATTTTCCTTTTAACTATTTTAAAATATTAATTAGTGTGACTTTTAGTAATAATTTTTATGTTATTTCTAAATATATAAATTTTATTTTAAAATTATAAAGATTGTATACCCGTCACACCGAAAGTCAAAAATTTTGGCCCTCGTAATCTGAATTGTGTCACGTAAAGCGGACGGGTGGATAGCATTTCTTTTTTAAATCTAAAGTATTTACATTATCAAATTGTAGTGGAGTATGTCGTACAATAATTTAATCGAAATATTTGGATGGTCGCAATAATTATTTGGGAGGGTGATAATACACGTTTTAAATTGCTTGGTTGAATACAAAACTTGACACTTAGCGTTTGTTAATTAATTCGTAAGTAGACTTGATGTTTTTCTCTTTTATTCCTGAAAAGAAAAAGTCTAGCTTAACACGACATATTGTAATGTAATGTGTGTTTAAACTATATAGGGATTGAAACTAGAAGAGTGTATAGACGCAAAAACATGCTTGAGTCATACACCAAAGGTAGCAAGAGTACACAGAGGAACAAGTGCAAGCATATACTTAGACAATGCAGCTTACAGGAGCTTTATCTACAACAAATTTGATGTGAGCCCTGTGGAAATGGAAAGTGCAGCAGTGGCTCTCATTTGCTACCAGCAGAAGACACCTTACATCGTTATCCGTGCCCTCTCTGACTTGGCCGGCGGCGGTGACTCCGAGAACGAGGCCGCCACCTTCATCACCCTTGCTGCTAACAACTCTGTTGAGGTTGTCGTGCAATTCATCAAGCAGTTGTCTTTGACCAAATATCAAGATGCTTGAGTTTGGAATTAATTATTCCGCATGCAGTTAATAATTCATCCTCAGATGAGGAGTAGTTTGATGCAAGTTAAGTTTAACTTTTTTTAAAATGTGTACTACTACGTTACATTCCCAAATAATGGAAACCTTATGCACTGTGCTTAAACCCAAATTATTTTATCCCGCATTACTCACTAAGTACACTTTAACTTTGCGAAAATTCTATTACCCACTAGTCTTATTCGAGTCAATGCCGATAATTATCATCCCGATCGATCAAGAGATCAAAACAAGATTTAAGTGGGAGCACTTCAATTCACGTTTTTGTTTTAATTTCCACGTTATTTTTCTTTTCTTTTTCAAATTTTTTCCACCATGCATCATCTTCCCAAATTAAATTACCAGCAAAACCAACCGATAGATTCTCTTCTCCAATCTTTCAAAATCTAAACCACAAAATATTTCCAAAGCACTTGTATGCCTCCATGCCAATCTTCGAGAAATTTATCAAATGTTCCAACCATTGTCTGGGTAAATATTTCGTAGAATCATATTCGCATAAACATATTCGATAAGCATTGTTCAATCATACAGCTGTTAGACACTTTTGTGATAAATATCGTACATATATGACGTTACTGTCTACTGACAAGAACAGACATTGCAATAATTGACGGGTCTGTATGCATTATCCCTAATCCCTATATTTAACTTATCACGTGATAGTTAAACTAAGCTAGCCTTGGACATAGATTTGTTTGAAACTTGAAAAAATAATTTTTGAAGTAGTTTTAAAAAATAATTTTTGGAAGTTGAAATTATGTTTGGACATGCAATTTATTTGAAAAAAATTTGAAGTTTTGTGAGTGGAAGAACAAGTTTCACCCAAAAACTACCCTAAACTAGATTTTGGAAACTTGAAAAATAATTTCAGAATTTTTCAAAAATAGATCATCAATCTATGAACAAAAAATATTTGAAAAAAAGTTGCCAAAATCTATGGCCAAACGGAAGCTAATTATCATGAAATTTATTGAGACAATCAAGAAAACCTTTTACCTTTTGTTACCATCCTTCTTTTGTTAATCTTTTTCTATCAATGATTGGAATGGTACTTTTTTTAAGAAGAGTCTTAGTAGGTAGTATGAAGAGAAAAAATCTGAATAATATATGTATCTCCACTTTTTTACTAAAGCATGGCATATTCTCGCTTTAATCTAAAATAAGCACTCCAAATTTACATAATATGATTACATAAATAATTCAGATCACGACCAAATTAAACGCATCAAGTTATAAATCCTTAGACCTAATTAAACGCATCAAGTTATAATTCCTTAGACGTGATTTTTCGAAAAGGGATTTTTTCGTTCCTCTACATTGTTTGATACTTTATTACCAAAATTGTCCATATTTTGTTATTTACCCGACCTACACAAGTTTTATCTACAAAATATATACATTTGTTTAAACTAGAGTTCTTTCTGCGCTTCTGTTCCTTATTTAGACGCGGGATTTTGGGGTCGCATATATTTCAATTAGATATTTTACTGACGTAATCATTACACCTTAATAAAGCCAACGTTTTTGTAGAATGTTGCTATTACGCCGATTTTCTGATTATGATCGCACCATAATCAATTTATTTTCTTTGGTTTTCTCTATTTCCTCTGATTTTTCATAAATGAAGGTTTTGAAAAACATAATTGCAAATAATTAGCTATGATTATATTGAATTTCGCGACATAAAGTCAAAATTAGCGATCATGCTTCAGCTACGTCACGACCCAAAATCTCACCTGTCGTGATGATGCCTATCTCAAAAATAGGCAAGCCAATAACCTAAATAAATCACAAGAATCCTTTAAGTTTGAAACGTAATATTCTGATTTGATAGAAAATCTCACAATTATTGGTACAAACACACTCCCAAAACCCGGTGTCACTAAGTACACGAGCATCTAAATGATAACAAAGTCTGACTAATAAAATATTGTCTTAAAATATAGAATAGTACAACAACTGAAAGGAAGAGAGAGTCAAGGTCAGCGGACGCCAAGCAGTTACCTTGATAGTCTCCAACTGATAACACTCTGAGATCTAACAGTCACCGTATCCGGAAGCACCTAGATCTGCACACGAGGTGCAGGGTGTAGTATGAGTACAATCAACTCAGCAAGTAACAATACTAAATAAAGAGCTGAAAATAGTGACGAGCTTCATAGTTAAGTCCAATTTCGGTAATTTCCACATAAGAAAGTAGGCATGCTTACAAATTCAAAAATTAAGGCCCAAACAATAATTTCATATCTAGTTTGTGTAACGATCCAATCGGTCGTTTTGAGCATTTGCACTTCGCTGGTAGTTTGGGGGCACGAGTAACCCTTATGATGTATTAGGACTTATGTGCAAAATTTGGATTCATTCCGAGTTTATTTGACATGTTACGGTGTTAGGTTTTGGAAGTCGAAAGTTCGAAAGTTCATTAATTTTGATTTGAGGTGCATTTCGTCTTTTCGATATTGTTATGTGTGTTTTGAGCCTCGAGTAGGTCTGTATTATGATATGGAACTTTTTGGTATGTTTAGACGGGTCCCGAGGGGCTCAAATGAGTTTCGGATAGGTTTGGATTGTGTTGCGCTCGTTTTTCTTACATTTCGACGTCGTTTCTTCAAGCATAAATGGTACCACATTGAACAAATGAGCTCCAATTTCTGTTTTTATTGAAGCATTAGATCTGTATAGTAATTACGGAGCCATGGCAAAAAGAATCATCAAATTTGGATATCGTATGATGATTTTATGGTCATTTTACTAAGAATTGGGTTGCCAGATTTTTCAGATTAATTACGAAATTGCCACTGCTGCGTATTTAATAATCTGCACTATTCCAAATATTGAAACCAACATATCTCCTTCAATATAAGGTCGGACCGTCATCAATAAAGCCAAGGTCGGACCTTCATCAATAAAGCCGAGGTCGGACCGTCATCAATAAAGCCGAGGTCGGACAGGCCAAGGTCGGACCGTCATCAATAAAGCCAAGGTCGGACCGTTATCAATAAAGCAAAGGTCTAATTAAGTAAAACTGATAAAGCTATACGTCATGTTCATGTTAAAACTGAAGATAAAAAAGTTTTTAATTTTAAGTTACTCTTATCGAAATTATGCAAAATAAAAATAACAACAACGATTGAAGAACATTTAAGTAAAAATAGAAAAAATAATCTTTTGTTCTTAATTCCATTTTATTACTGCTGAATTTGACAAAAGACAAACTTATATAAAAAATAAAAAAAAATAAAAAATCTGCAGAGATATGGAGATGGCCCTCAGAATGAACTACCCCTTGAAGTAGATGGAGACTACACGAGAAATATTGGATACTTGAAAATTTCCAACTACTCTGTGAATGTGAAAAATTGCAACTCACATGACAATCTTCTTAACAACGTTTGGTACCAACCTGAAGAAGTATTCCCTGTATTTGGCACTCCTGAGGAAAGACAACATATCTTTTGGGTCCCTGTTGACCCTCATTACTTTGCAATCGCCAAAAAACTCAGAGGTAAATTATACTTCCTGACCACTTATTATTTAGAGAGTTAAATAATTTTTTTAATTGTAACCTTTTAATTATTTTAAAATATTAATTATTGTGACTTATAGTAATATTTAATTTTAAATATATAAATTTTATTTTAAGAATTTAAAGATTGTATGCCACTCACACCCGAAAGTTAAAAAGTTTAACCCTCTTAATCTGAATTGTGTCACGTAAAGTGGACGGATGAACTGCATATTTATTTAAAATCTACAGTGTTTACATTTTCAAGTTGAAGTGGAGTATGTCGTACAATAATTTAATTGAAATGTTTGGATGGTCGTAATTAGGGATGACAAAATGGTTAAAAGAAAACAGTTAACCATATTATCCACTAAAAATGAGTTGGATAATGAACTTTTTAAAAACGGGTCAAATATGGATAAGAACCATATTATCCATTTAGAAAATGGATAACCAATGGGTAACCAATGGATAACCAATGAGTCTAATTTTTACATTTGTAAAACCTCAAATTGGGGGTTCCTCAAGTTAGGGAGACTAAGAATTCTCCCAAAAGCGATCATATGCAAGAAGTCATGGATAATATGGTTATCCATAGTATCTGCCGGTTAACCTGTTTTTTATCCGTATTAAATATGAGTCGGGTCGGATAATTTATCCGTTTTCGACCCGAACCATATTCGACCCGATACGCCCGTTTGCCACTCCTGGTCGTAATAATTATTTGGAAGGGTCATAATACACGTTTTAAATTGATTGGTTCAAGATAAAACTAGACACTTAGAGTTTGTTAATTTGTTGTAGCGTAGAAAATATCTGAAAGGATTTTGTATTCGTTAAATATTAGAGAGTAATAAAAAAGAAAGGGCCCTGTTGGCGCTTCATTAGTCTTTGATACATGATAAGTACTTTAGTTGAGTAACTAATCCCCCTCGCCCCCGCCCTCCTCCCTCCCCCCTCTCCTCCCCCCCCCCCCCCAACCCCCAAACACCGACGTCCCTCCTCTCAATATACAGGAGATGATTATTATTGATGTCATTTTTTTTCTAGGTACATTAGATACACTTGAAGTGGACGATAAAGATATATAACCCTATTTCATCTTATATACTAACTCGTGTCTGCTATAATTAGGATACTCCATCCGTCTCAAATTATGTTACTTTATATGAACTTTGATAAATATTTAAAAAAATATTTTTTAATTATATTGACATGACAACTGCAATTTACAGTAGTTTTCGTATAGTTTTTGAATATTTATATTTCAATTTAAAAATATTGTGTTGATCTAATCCACTAATTAATTTCTTTGGCTCAAAAGTTAGCAATGTACTTTGTAAGCTAGAAAACAATCGAAAGTAAGAAAAGGGTAAATCGTAATCAAATATAATAAACCTAGAGATGCAAAGATGATATTATTGTTGTAGATTTGGTATTGCAAAGTGATAATATGAACTTAACAAGATATGTTCGTTTGAGGTAGAGATAGAGAGAGAAAGACAGAAAATGAGAGAGTTGTATTAGATCCGAATCCTCCTTTTACAATGTGAAGGTCTCCTTTATATAATAAGAGACCTTCCTCGAAAAAATCAAAAAGTTACAAAGACAGGTAGCGTCTCCCTGGTGAAGACACTGAGTCCTAAACGATGTCGCTTTTGTCCCCGCGTCCGAGTCGTACCGCTACGTTAGTCGGCGTACACTCACTGGGCGTACCCTCTGGCGTAAGGATGCTGACGATCAAATTTGACCCCATACAGTTAGTCCCTCCGCTCGTTGGAGACGCATTCGGGGGGCGTCTTCGATGGGCGGAAATGCGAACCTCGGCTTAGGAGAATTTGACCTCGACCAGGGGCGGCAATATGAAGGAGGTGAAATATATGACGTTGTAGAGCCACTGACGCGTGGCTTCCTTTTTGGAATGACGTCATCGCCTGTATGCGTCATTATTATATTTGCCCCCGAGGCGGTTCAGAGGGTGATGTGACATTTTGGTTTCCCGCGCACGTTTTGAATCATGACTCTTCGATTTCTGCGCAGCTTATCCCTATAAGTAGGAGGGAGGTTCGATTCGATTCACCTTTCAAGCCTTCAGAAAGCATTTTCCGATTTTACTCCTTTGTCTTCCTTTCCTGTAGCCGTTATTTCGTGAGGGACTCTCCCACTTCTGCTGAAACCACACTTCCTATCGTCAGTGATTCGTTTCTTACGTAATATAATCATCACAAAACGTGGACAGAGTAGTAAAAAGGCTAAAGATAATGCCCCGTCTAGGGTTCCGCCATCTTCCGGTGGTGAAGGGGAAAAGGCGGAGAAGGCCATTGTTCCTCTCAGTGTAGACAACGTCCTTCTGAAGGAGATGCATGTTCGCAGGGATTTTCCAACTAAAAGCCCAGACCTTCCCTGGGAGCACAGCGTTTTATTACAATCCCACTTAGATGATCTTCGAGAGACGCATCATATTCCGGACCACGTGGAAATGGTTCCGGCCGGGACGGACTATGCCAATGTGCACCGGACTGGATACTGCACATTCTATGAGTACCCGTTCTTGATCGGTTACAATCTTCCAATCTACCCTCTGACGGAGGAGATTTGCCGTTTTTACAATGTGTGTCCGGCTCAGCTCACTCCTTACACCTTGAAGGTGTGCCGTATTATGACCACTTATGCGGCAGGGCTGAGTGCAGCGTCTCGATCCACCACCTCTTGCAGTTATTCAGCCCTGGTTACCTGAGGGGTACCATGCTACAATTAAAAAGCCGTGGCACAAGGGGCTTGGTTGTCAAAGCCGATGATAAGCCCAACCGCCGCTTTTGGCGTAAATATTTATACATCAGGACGGAGCACCTGGTGTCAAATCCCGAAGGGTTCCCGGAACGATGAATCCAGAACGTAAGTATTTCTACTCGTAGAATTCAAGACTGCTTGCGCTTTTGACCATACGGCCATTGTAATTTCTTTGCTTTTCTCCTTTTTTATTTATCCGCAGTGAGGGCTTCTCCACCCCTGTCTACTGATGACAGTAAATCATGGGTGGAAAGAATAATACCTTATGCGGAGGAATACCGTACCTGGGCTGCATTTCTTCAACAGTATGGCCCGTCAGGTAATTCTTTGGCTACGGTTTGGGAGTTCCCTACGTTCTTGTCACCTGACTTATTCGCGTTGGCAGGTCGGAGCGCCCTAAGAAGAAGAAGAAGAAGAAGAACGTCGTCACCTCACCTGGGGCGGGGACTGACTCTGAAGATGGATACATACCCTGTGGCTCGCCCAGTGATGGCGCTGCGGAGGTTCCTCAACCGCTGCCTATGGCGGCGTCCACGAGGGAAGCGACTCCTTCAATGCCATCTCCACGGGCTATGGAGGAGACTTCTGAGAGCGAGGAGCCGCCGGAAAGGAAAAGACGCCGGTTGATAACCGGCAAAGGGCTAGCCGCAGAAGACGAGGGGGCGAGCGAGCCCCGTCGGGAGTCAAGGCCAGTTTTTATGGCATATGCCATCCGTTCCGGGAGGTTGGCTCCCCAAGGGGGGGCGCTTCTCGACGCCAGCCCAACACGTATTCCGGAGAGCGGCTCGTCGGGTACCGTTGGAGAAGCGGGCGATGATACCGAGAGGGTGGGCCCTGAGGCCGCCCAGGCGGATGCAGATGTGTTAACGCGGGGTTCGGCCCGTGTGGGGATGACAGCAGGTAGATCCAACCGCCGAATTTTGATCCCAGGAGGGTATAACCTGTTGCAACACAGCGAGCAGGCCGCAGCGGATATGACCCTGCTATGTGCGGCCGCTGAGCGTGAAATGTTAAAAGGGGTTAGCGACGGGGAACTATCACAGAGGGTTGCCGGCGCGGCCTTGCAGGTATTTTTTCATTTTCTTCATGCACCGTAAAGTAAATTTTGATGCATACTGACTTGCCTTTCGTCTTTTTCCTCTTCTTTAGACTCTCATCTTGGAGACATCGAGGGGGCGGCGAGCGCAAAGGAAGGCAACCACCTTTAACAAGGTGGTAAAGAAATATCGGCGGTGCCGCGTTAAGCATCAGGCGCTGGCGGACCTACTCAAGCAGGACCCGGAATTTCGGGTTTTCCGTGAGGGTTTGGAGCAGTTGGAGGCCCAGCTGAAACGGAGGGTGGCCGAGTTGGAGCAGATCGACGAGCAGCTGATGACCGCCCTGGCTCGGAATATTGAGCTGGAGACTCTTCTCCAGTCTAAGGAAGAAGAGTTGGAGGTTGGCCGTGGGGTAGCGGCGGAAGCTGCTGATTTGCGGATCAAGGTTGCCGCTATGACCGCCGAACTCGATACCAAGGCGGCTGAGATTGAAGTCCTCAAATGGACTGCTGCACCAAGGCCTGATGAGGATGCGCATCGTGAGGCGCATGACATGTGGGTGTACGCCGAGGCCAGATTGGTCGTATTCGAGGAGTTCTTAGCTGCGGGTCGAGCTACTGAGGCGGAGGTTCAAGAGCAACGACGCATAGTCCGTGTCGCCCGTGAAACTTGTGGGTATAGTTCTGATTCCCCAGACCGGGCAGGCTATAACTCCGAAGACGTCAACCGTCTAGAATTCGGCTCTTGGATCTCTGCGGCCTATCAGGCCGAGGACGGCGATGGACGAGATGGCGATCCGACGGGAGGCGGTAAACAGAATGGCTAAGCCCCTTAGGACTTGTATTCATTTTGTTTCGCTGTATTTGGAGACGAAAATAGGTCCTTTTGTACATGTACTTTTTGATGATAATGGAAGTTATACTTTTGCTGTTATTCTTTTCTTTCTGTACCCTTTATTTTTGGCCTTTAATATTGTTGATGGCCTTAGCCATGTGCGTAACTTCGACTGTTGTCGGGTCGTTTTACCCACCGCAGTCGAATCTAGGTCGACCGTTGGCGGCGATGGCCTTAGCCATAATATAATTGATGGCCTTAGCCATGTGGGCGACTTCGACTGTCGTCGAGTCGTATACTCACCGTAGTCGAATCTAGGTCGACCGTTGGCGGCGATGGCCTTAGCCATAATATAATTGATGGCCTTAGCCATGTAGGCGACTTCGACTGTCGTCGAGTCGTTGACTCACCGTAGTCGAATCTAGGTCGACCGTTGACGGCGATGGCCTTAGCCATAATATAATTGATGGCCTTAGCCATGTAGGCGACTTCGACTGTCGTCGAGTTGTTTACTCACCGTAGTCGAATCTAGGTCGACCGTTGACGGTCGATGGCCTTAGCCGTAATATAATTGATGGCCTTAGCCTTTCACACATTGGAGACGGCCGTAGCCTTTCATACATTGGAGATGGCCGTAGCCTTTCATACATCGAAAATGGCCGTAGCCTTTCATACATCAGAGATGGCCGTAGCCTTTCATACATCGGAAATGGCCGTAGCCTTTCATACATTGGAGATGGCCGTAGCCTTTCATACATTGGAGATGGCCGTAGCCTTTCATACATCGGAAATGGCCGTAGCCTTTCATACATTGGAGATGGCCGTAGCCTTTCGTACATTGGAGATCAAGCTAGTCCGGTCCCTTTATCATGTCGGCCTGGAGGTCGTAAGGAGAGGTTGATATGATAAACTTGTTTCGCAAGTATCTCCAAGTGTCCCCTCTGCCGCCTCGCTAAAAACCTCCCCGAGAAAACCCAATTGGGACAAAACTCGGGTAAGGGAAAAAGAGTACGACTCGGGAGACGTCTTTCAGAAGTGGAAATACTTGAGGTGAGTAACGTTCCAGTTGTTTTGAAGTGTTTTCCCTTCCATTGTTTCCAACTGGAATGCGCCTTTGCCGGCTACTGCTGTGATTTTGTAGGGTCCTTCCCAGTTGGTGCCCAGTTTCCCTTCACTTGGGTCTTTGGATGC